AAGGCCACCCTTTAAACCAATCCAACAGCTCCTTTCTCCATAACCTGATTTTAGAGGTGTTTCATTATCTCTAATTACTCGGGGTAAACGGTGATTACTCAATGTTTTAATCATCAGTTTGGGCAGCAGTTACTCTAAACTCAGGGAAGCCCAGACTCCCATGGGTATTTTTGGAAGGTACTGCGACTAGTCGGTGCATGCTTTCTAGTACCTACGCACGTGGTCCCCAGGTAAGTCCCGGCCCCGCTTCGCAGAGCTGCAGGCAGCCGAGCCCCAGCCCAGAGGCAGCTGCGGACTCCAGCGCTGCCCGGGCTTCCGGGACCGGCCTGCGAGGCGAGGCGAGGCGAGGCGAGGCCAGGCGGCTGGAGGGGAGGATGTGGGCGGGGCTCCCATCCCAAAGAGGGAGGCTGGCAAGGGAGGAGGGAAGAAGGGAGGGGCTGCCGGGGAGGAGGAGGACGGAAAGAAAGAAAGACTGAGGGAAAGGGGAGGAAGGAGAAGATGCCAGAGGGCAGAGCAGGAAGGAGGGAGGGAGGGAAGGAGTGCGGAGCCCGGCCCGGAAGCTAGGTAGGTGAGTGGCATCCCAGCCCAGGGACAGGAGCCTTAGACGTCGCTGCTGCTCCGCGCGCTGTGTACTTGGCTTCTCTCCCTCATGGGATTCCCGTCGAGCCTGCTGCACCCCGGTCGTAGGCCCTCGCCTAAGTCCACTGCGGCCGTTCAGAGGTGCCCAGAAGCTGCTGCTGGCGAGCCCGCTCCTGCAGGGATCTATGGTGAGCAAGGCTGCCTGGCGAGGCCGGCCGGACAGAGGGGGCCGGGCGCATCCTTGGGGTGGGGGGTTGCGGAGGAGGAAGCGCTGGATTCCGGCTGTGGTCGCAGCCAAAGGTCCTCCCCGCAAAAGCTTGTGCTATACCTAGGGATGCTGGCACTGAAAGACACTCCTGCCTCTGCCCAGGCCACCGTCTGCGCAAACCCGGGCTATTTCCACTTTAGTAGGTTTGAGGGTCGTTGGGGAGGCTGCGAGGTCTGGAGGGGATACGGAAGATCAGTCTACCCTCAACGGGCAGGGCCAGGAGAGGAAGGAGGATTGGCTCCGAAGTCAGGAGAGTGTGCGGGGACGGCCAGGTGGAGGGAGAGCACCTAGCTGGGTTGGTGCTGCGGTGCGGGGCTGCGCAGAGGGGAGTGTCCGCCGACGGGGGCCACCCCGCCCGAGGAAGCTGGGGAGAGCTGGCGGACGACGGCGGCCAGACGCGCCTCCTCCACGAGCCATGATCGGGGGCTTGCCTCGCCACCGCGGTGTCATCGGAGAGGGTCTCGATGGCCAGGGTGCCAGGCGCTCCGGGGACGAGGCTACCCGGGTAGCCGTGCGGCCGACGCGCGGCTCTCCAAGGCTCCTCTCCCCGCGCAGAGCCGCCGGGCATGGGTCCCCGGAATCTCCAGTCCCCGCGGACCCTCCCGGCCCGAGGTGGGCCTGTGGCCTCCCGGGCACCTCTGATGTGGGCTCAAGGCTTTGTGAGACGCGAAAAGCCCCAAAGACAGGGAGTTGGTAAACAGAAGTGGCGTCGGAACTGGTATCGGGAGAAGACTCCAGCAAGGAGGTATAGGACGGTCGCCTGGAGTTGCATCTCTACTCCCCAAGAAAATTCAGAAGATGGAAGTTCCTTCGGCTTTTATCTTTTTTAATTAAAAAAAATTTTTTTTTGAGGGGGGGAGTGAGAAAGGGGGAGAACGCGATTAGCGATGCATCCCACTTGCTGAACCCGAAATGGAAATACAACCAGCCTTTGCGTGTGAGCGCGCCGAGCGCTCCCGCCGCCACCCTGGGATCGTCCGGGGGTTCCGGGCGCCGGCCCCTACTCCTGCCCCTTCGCCCCTCCAGGACCGTCCCTTCTCCGTCTGCTTCTCCTATTTCTGGCACTCCTCCCACAGGTCTTTAAAAAAAAAAAAAAAAGGGTTCCTGGCGTCTCAAAGAAAAGAAAGAAAAAAAGAAAAGGAGAAAAGAAAAACCCCTTTGCCCTCCCCAGCCCTTTCGCAGTCCGCCCCGGCGGCGGCGTGGCGACGGGAGGACCTAAAGCCGCTCCAGAACCAGCGCGGCTCTTCCCGGCCAAGACGGTCGCGCAGGGGCGCCCGTGGCCTCCGCACCCCGGCCTCTGCGTCGGGCGGCGCCGGGCAGCCGCGGCCCCGAGGGGTGGGGGAGAGGGCTCAGCGCTTGATGTCTCTCTCCTCTTCCTAAGGGCTTCCCTGGAGTGCCCCCGAGAAGAAACCCAAGGTCGTGGGGGGGGGGGGGAGGCAACCTGAGCCCCCAGTCTCTGCATCGACCCAAGGCTGGAGCTGGGGACAGACTTTGGAGGGAGAGGCGAGGTGCGGGGAGGGAGGTTTTGAGCGGGAGCCCTGCGGCTCGGACCCCGGAGCGGGCCCACGCGGACGCAGGTTTGCACTGGGTCAGGTTTTGGAAAAGACCCCTCGCTGAGCCGCTGAGCGACCCACGCGTGCAGCATCTCCAGTTCGTTGGGACATCCCAGCGACTCCTGGAGCTGTGGGCTGGTAAATTCCTCAAGAAATATTTGCTGCGACTGTGCAGCTGGTGCAAAGGAGGAAGGGGGTGGGGGGAGGAAGTAGCGGGGGTTGGCCGTGGTGGGGGCGGGGGGAGGAGTGGTGGTTTAAAAAATAAGGCAGGGAGAGAGAGAGAGACAGAGACACAGAGGTCGAGCGCAGGCCGAGAGCTGTTCACGGTTTTCTCGACTCCGACTCCTGAGAACGTGGTGGGATTTCCTTTCTGCATCGGGCCGGGAGTGGTAAAACCTGGGCGACACTCAGACCTGAAACTTGGGGGGATGCGCCCTCTCCCCGCGGCGACGCCTCCGCGGGAGTCCGCCTCCGCCCCGAAGGGCCCGGTCGGCCGCCTTCTGCGGGGATTTATCCTCTGCTCCGGGGGACGCGGTGCGGAGAGCCTCGCGGTAAAGGAACCAGAGAAAACAGCTTCGCGGCCGCTCCCTCCCCGCTTTCCCACGTCGATCGCCGTCCGCCGCCACCTCCCCGCTCCGCCCCGTGCGGGACTCGGTCAGCAGCTTGTTTGCGGCCGAGAGCTGCAAAGGCTACCCAGTTGGGAGCTGCAAAGGCTGTCCGGTTGGTCGGAGCAGCCGGCAGGCGTTCGCCCTCGGGTCACTGCCTGTCGCTGGGAGCGATAGTGGCCTCGCGGGCACTCTGGGGAGGACGAGGCGGGGGGCGCGCGCACGGACCCGTGTCCTTGGCGCTGAGGCTTGGAGAGGCTGAGGCTCCGCCGACCCCGTCCCCGGCCCCACTGGAACCCGGTTCATATGCTGAACGGCGCAGCCCCTACAGTGCGCCCCAGATCCTGCGGCTTCAGGCCGCTTGGCGCCAGTAGGGCCCCGCGGCGGGACGTCCCGAGCACCGCGGGGAGAGACGAGGATCCCCGCGGCCTCCGCGCTCTGGCCCCGGGGTACCTGCGGAGGGCTCCTCCGCGGATCTCAGCCCCAGCTCCTCCCCGGCCGCGGGAAGCCGGGGCTGGAGGCTGGGAGGCTGGCCTCCGCCGGAGGGGCGGGGCCGCGCCGGAGTTCGCGGGGCCCTTTCGCCGCCGGCCCGCCGCGGGGAGGGTGGGCCCCTCCGAGCGCGGGGCGGGGCCTCGGCGCCCACGTGACCCCGGGAGGCTGGAAGAAATACCGAGCCCGTCTGCGCCAGAGTCTCATTATATTCAAATATTCATTTCAGGAGCCATTCCGTAGTGCCATCCAGAGCCACGCGCGGCAGCAGCTCCGCTGAGCCTTTCCAGCAAGTTTGTCTCCAGATTGGCTGTCGAGAATCATGGACTGTTATTATATGCCTTGTTTTCTGTCAGTGAGTAGACACCTCTTCCTTCCCTTTCCCCGGGAGTCACTCTGCCTGCCCTCTCCACCCACCCCTGCTCGCCCGGGTCCCTCCCGTCGGACCTTCCTCCCAGAGCCCACCCTCCGCTTTCGGGCAGCGCTGTCGCCTCCTCCCCGGCCGAGCAGCCGCGGTGCTCCGGATGCGCGGGTCTCCGTGCAGTGCTGCCTGCTCCCGCCCGCGCTCTCAGGCCGGGTGCGCTGCAGGAAAGCGGAGCGAGAGGGGGCTAAAGAGATGCAAGTCCGCGTCCGCGGGGTTGTCCCTTATGGGCTCATGAGCCAGCCCCCTTCCCACTTGCCTGGGTGTGTGTGTGTTGGGGGGGAGGGGAGTGCCCGATGCCCCGTGTTGCGTTCCCAGCTGCTTGTCAAACTTCTGAGGTCGCTTCTGGGACCAATCCCTCACCCCCGCCGCCCCTTCCCTGGGAGTAAGCGAGTGGGCACGCTCTGGTGCTTTTTGCTGGGCATTTCAAACTCATCAGCCCCAGTAAAATACAACCTGCAAGCCACTTTGTCAGCTCCCAGACCACGTTCTTGGTCTCGGCCTCGGCCTCTGGACCCCGCGGTCCAGTGTCTTTCCCCTGCGTCCCTGCTTTCCCTCCCTCCTGCTTGGAACCAGCTGGAAGGGGTGGAAGTTGGGCTGGGAGGGCGGAGGAAGACGGTGGGGGTGGAGGAAGAGGGGGAGAGGCTGGAGGTCTGAAGTGGAGTGGAGAGCAATGGCATTTTAATTTTCCCTTTCCCCCCTCTTCCCCCGCCCCCCCTTCAATGTTAACTGTTTATCCTTGAAGAAGCCAAGCTGAGATCATGGCTCAGATAGCAGCTGGGACAAAAAAAGATTAGCAGGATGGAGGCTATCTGATTTGGGGTTATTTGACTGTAAACAAGTTAGACCAAGTAATTACAGGGCAATTCCTACGTTCGGGCCTTGCATGGCTGCAGCTGGTGATGGAGGGGGGTGTGTGTGTGAGGGAGAAGACACAAACTTGATCTCTCTGACCCGCTTTCCATCCTGATCCCCCTCTATCTCTCGCCCTTATATGCATATGCAGAGACATCTCTGTTTCTCTCCAGTTATTGGTGTTTATTTATTCTTTAACCTTCCGCCTCCTCCCCCTCCCCAGAGACACCATGATTCCTGGTAACCGAATGCTGATGGTCGTTTTATTATGCCAAGTCCTGCTAGGAGGCGCGAGCCATGCTAGTTTGATACCTGAGACGGGGAAGAAAAAAGTCGCCGAGATTCAGAGCCACGCGGGAGGACGCCGCTCAGGGCAGAGCCATGAGCTCCTGCGGGACTTCGAGGCTACCCTTCTGCAGATGTTCGGGCTGCGCCGCCGCCCGCAGCCTAGCAAGAGCGCCGTCATCCCGGAGTACATGCGGGATCTTTACCGGCTCCAGTCTGGGGAGGAGGAGGAGGAAGAGCAGGTCCACAGCAGCATCGCCCTGGAGTACCCGGAGCGCCCCGCTAGTCGGGCCAACACCGTGAGGAGCTTCCACCACGAAGGTCGGTCCCTGCCCCGAATCTGGGCGGGGGAGGGCGGGTAGGGTTGGCTGGTGGGGCCATGGGAGCCCTGGGGGAGAAAGGTTCAGGTTACATCAAAGCCCCCAATCCAGGAGGCTGGGGAATGGGGCTGCCTGCCTCCAAGAATTTCCAGAGCTGTGTGGCTAAATTTATTTTTCGGAGATAGAGGGGAGGGGCGGAGGGAAGGGGAAGGACACCACTCAGACGTGGTTTTAGCCTCCGAGGTGTGTTTTTGCTATATCAAAGCCTTCTCTGCCATGTTTTATGCCCGTTTTCTTCTTCTTTTTTTTCTCCAAAGCACCTACTGCATTTAAGGTTACAGCTGTGTGTTTGTCAGGTTTATTCAATAGGGGCCTTGTAATCTGATCTGAATGTTTCCTAGCGGATGTTTCTTTTCCAAAGTAAATCTGAGTTATTAATCCACCAGCATCATTACTGCGTTGGAATTTATTTTCCCCTCTGTAACATGATCAACAAGGCATGCTCTGTGTTTCCAAGATCACTGGGGAAATGTTTAGTAACATACTCGAGAATGGAAGCAGAGGTAGAGAGGGTGGCTGTGGGCATGTTTCCTCCTGCCCCTGCTCTGGGGGACCCTCTTTTTCTTTACAACCACTTGTAAAGCAAGCCATGTACACAAAGCCAAGAGGGCCTTAGAGGGGGAGCCTTGGAGGTAGTGGAGTAAGGAGTTGACACATGGAAATTATTAGACATGTAAAGGAGGTCGGGAGATACTTTGTCTTTGGTGCTTGCCGAATGCTAGCTATGTCTCTCCGAGTTTGCTAGCCTGCCCCATTTGTCTGCTTCTTCAGCTTAGAAGATATACTTACTCCCCCCAAATAGGCAGAATTCACCACTCACCACCCAAACCTTAACTGTTTCTTGACTTTTCAATCGCTCAGACAATTCATGTGCTTTTTTTTTTTTTTTTCCTTCCCATTTTTCTTTTTCTTTCCCTTCCTGATGGTGCCTAGAACATCTGGAGAACATCCCAGGGACCAGCGAAAACTCTGCTTTTCGTTTCCTCTTTAACCTCAGCAGCATCCCAGAGAACGAGGTGATCTCGTCCGCAGAACTCCGGCTTTTCCGGGAGCAGGTGGACCAGGGCCCTGACTGGGAGCAGGGCTTCCACAGAATAAACATTTATGAGGTTATGAAGCCCCCGGCAGAACCAGTGTCTGGGCACCTCATCACACGACTACTGGACACGAGACTGGTCCACCACAATGTGACGCGGTGGGAAACTTTTGATGTGAGCCCTGCAGTCCTTCGCTGGACCCAGGAGAAGCAGCCAAACTATGGGCTGGCCATCGAGGTGACTCACCTCCATCAGACACGGACCCACCAGGGCCAGCATGTCAGGATTAGCCGATCGTTACCTCAAGGGAGTGGGGATTGGGCCCAGCTCCGGCCACTCCTGGTCACCTTTGGCCACGATGGCCGGGGACACGCCTTGACCCGACGGAGAAGGGCCAAGCGTAGCCCCAAGCATCACCCACAACGGGCCCGGAAGAAGAATAAGAACTGCCGACGCCACTCGCTCTACGTGGACTTCAGTGACGTGGGCTGGAATGACTGGATTGTGGCCCCACCAGGCTACCAGGCCTTCTACTGCCATGGGGACTGCCCCTTTCCACTGGCTGACCACCTCAACTCAACCAACCACGCCATTGTGCAGACCCTGGTCAACTCTGTCAATTCCAGTATCCCCAAAGCCTGTTGTGTGCCCACTGAACTGAGTGCCATCTCCATGCTGTACCTGGATGAGTATGACAAGGTGGTACTGAAAAATTATCAGGAGATGGTCGTAGAGGGATGTGGGTGCCGCTGAGATCAGCAGTCCTTGGAGACACACACACACACACACACACACACACACACATTACCATCCACTCACCCACACCCTACACAGACTGCTTCCTTATAGCTGGACTTTTATCTTAAAAAAAAAAAAAGGAAAAAAACCTAAACATTCACCTTGACCTTATTTATGACTTTATGTGCAAATGTTTTGACAATATTGATCATATATTTTGACAAAATATATTTATAACTACATATTAAAAAGAAAAAATAAAATGAGTCATTATTTTAAAGGTAAAACTATGTCCTTTTCTCTGGAATCCTTTCTCTTTTTTTTTTTTCCAGCCCATTTCTTTTGAGTGAGCATTTTTTTCCCTATGAAAGTAGAGCTAGAAGCAGGTGGTAACTGGAGGTGGTTAAGTTCTAGGGACAGGAAGTAAAAGAAGGATAGAGAGATGGTAATTGCCAGGATGAATTGTTTTCCATTTCTATTTAATGTTAACAAGGACGCAGCATCCTCTCCCATCTGGATGGCACATGCCGTGGAGAAACAGTGGGATAAAAGGAGTAGGCCAGATTAAAGACTCAGTTTGGGGCTCCTTGTCCATCTTCTGGATTTGCTCACCTGTTAGAGGTGCATCTGAGCTGAGAGTGATGGGTAAGAATTTCAATGCTTGGGAAGTGAGTCCCACCTCTGCTTTTATGATACCCCAGGGTGTCTCCAGTTATGGGCCTCAATGTTGTATCTTTCAATCCAAAAGTAATTTTCACACACATATTAACGGATGTATACCAGGTATATGTGTGTGTGTGTTTTTAAGAGGTTGTTGGGTGGTGGGTCTTTTTTTCTTTTAAGAAGTGGGTTTTAGCCAATAAAATAAGTGATGTGCCTTATCTTCAAAAAACTTGGTGACCACTATTGTAATATACCACATGGTGAAATTTTCTAGCATTTTTTGGACTTCTTTTCCTTACTTCCTATTCCAGCTGGGTCGGGGTTGGCAACAGGGTCAGATACTGAAGGGTCAGAATTTCTAGGTAGGCACTGCAAAAGTTTCACTGTTTAGATTCTCTAGAGTCCAATGCCAACTCTCCTTGTCTCTGTGTGCTCTGCCTGTCCCCCTTCTCTGGAACTGGGCAGAAAGTGACACACTTGCATGTGCTGTTCTGAGCCAGGGTTTCTTCAAGGAGAAAACTCAAATATTGGCCAAAGGAAAATGCTCATGTGCTTGAGCAGTCTATGAGTTAAGGGCTGCCAGCAAAGCAGAGAAATGGCTTTCTGACATGACATGCATATCGTGGCTAAGAGGCCCAGACCAGGGGCCTTTGCTTCATCTTACTTGCCACCAACTAGTAAATTAAGCCCTGGAATCTTAGCCTGCTTAGGCTCCTTTCTTTTTTTTTTTTTTTTTTTTTTTTTTTTTGAAAAGACTTGGATGAGCCGGAAAGCAGTGTCTTTGCACAGTCTGTGTGGGGTGGGCTGATAGACGTGCGTTTCTCCCTCGTGAAGGCAGAGTGGGGTGGAGGTGCTGTGTGTGCACCCCCCTGCACACACACTCTTCCCTGTGTTTTTGGGGACAGGATGGCTGAAGCAGGATTCATTTTTTTTTTTTTTTTAATTACTGAAGTCCTGCAATCCTCCAAAGGAGCAGCTTAGTGGAAACCAATAAAAATAGAAGTAGAGCTGTTGCCAAAGCCCCAGCTCCCCGGAGAGCACAGGTGGAGAGAGGAGATCAGAGCCCGAGGCAAAGGCAGCAAGACTCCAGGGTCCCTCCAAAACTCCCTGCGAGGAGATGCTCCCCCCTCCGTGAGCCCCCCAGGCCGCTGCCCCTTTGATTAATGGTATGGAGGTCGAATAAATCTTTGAGGCGAAGCCCATTATGGGTTTCCCTTCAGGCGGCCTCGTTTTGTTTTTGCCCCATTTCCAGCAACTTTCTGAAATGCCCGTGTCACTGGAAAGGAACCCGCAGATCTCTAGCCCTTGGAGGGCGCGTCCTGAACCGGGTGGCTGCCTGGCTCAGGTCACTTTCTAGCAACCACGCTCCCCCCTTCCCCCCACGCTCCCCCTCCTCCTACTACTGGCTTATTTTCAGGAATGGATAATGTTGTTTATTTGTTCAGCCAAATATTTGGTCTGGGGAATTTACCGTGAAATTCTGTGAATTGCATATACCTAGTTAACAAAATAGTCCTAATGCCACAGTGTTAGCATGAAAAACAAGCAGCCACCGCCAGCTTTAACTCTTTCAGTTCTGTTGGAGGGCACAGTCCTGAGAAGAGGGGGAGGTGAGGAACTGAGTATGGGTAGAGAGGCGATTTAATTTAGGTTTCAGTCTTCTTGGCGTTGCTTTTGGATCAAGCTTGCCTTTCCCCCCCTTCGTCTCTTTATATATCCCGTCCCTCCCCCAGAGCATTGTTACAATCCAAGAAAGGTGGGGAGGAAGAATCGCTCTTGAGGAGTTCAGCAAAGTCATAACCACATCAGAGGAGCTGCCGGGTCGATCCCTGCCCAACCCTTAAACTGGACCGGGCTTCCTAGAAGCTTCAGGGGGAAAAAAACGCAGGGGGTGGAGGGTGGAACGCATCACCTGGTCCCCGGCTTTCTTTGGTTGCATAATTCGCTCAGAACCTGCCAGGTGACCCGCTGACTTTGTTTTCTGTCTGGACCGCGCTCCGCACCTCGACCCCCTGCCGCTGGGCAGCTACCCCGCGAGGGCTCTGGGCAGCCGCGGCCCCAACACCCCGCCCGGGACCCGCGTCCCCGCCCCGCAGACAGGCTCCGCCCGCCCGCCCCGGAGCTCCGGGCCCTGCGGCTGCCTGCGGGGGCGCCAGGGGGCGTCCTCCCCGCCGGGGCTGAGTCGGCGCACCTGGCTGAGCCGGTGGACTCCCCGCAGCCCCCCTCTCCCGCCCCCTAGCCAGATTGCAGGTTTCAGGTCTCCGCCCGGCTGACCACCGGTCGCGGGGGAGAGCGGCCCGCTAAGGCGGAGCTGTGCGGGGACAGGCGGATCCTATTAGCGCACCCGGGGCCCCAGGGCGGCGGGCGGCGCATTGAGGATGAGATGGGGACCTGCGGCCCGAAGAGCCATGCAGACTGGGGAGCACGCTCACCGGGTGAAAGAGGCCTGGATATCTTTAGGAAGTTTCTGTTGGGGGGGGGAGGAAAGCAGGGATTAGGGAGCGAGGCCCTCCTTGCATGGAGCTCACAATGGGACCGTATCTTGGAGCGACCTAATGGGGGCACGGCGAGTGGGGAGCGGACCCATTGACAGGAACCTGGAGCCCCCGGTCTCAGGACCTCCTAGAAGCACCGGCCCGGCTTGGGTTGAACTGCCACCACTACCTTCCTCCAACCTCTGCGGGGCGGGGTGGGGGTGTTTGGGGGGCGGTGGTGAAGAGGTGAGGGGAGAGGAGAGCACACACAGAAGCGGTGTGCTTGCGTGGGGTTGGCTGATGTCTTTCAGAAGTGAGGTGCCAAACACATAATTTCTTGACAGCACTTGAGCTGATCTCCTCTGGGCCTGTACCCTTCACCTGCCACCTGAAGCCTGGGGCTCAGAACTGGGAACCCTAAGGCTAAGAGTCAGATAAAGCTGAGGCCCCAGTGCTTCCAAACAAAGCAAATTCATTCTCTCTCTCTCTCTCTCTCTCTCTCTCTCTCTCTCTCTCTCTCTCTCTCTCTCTCTCTCTCATGCAAAAGCCACTTGTTGGCCTTTCATTGCCTGAGAATCAGAAAGTGATCACAATTCCCTGGAGGAATTCAGGGTAATTGGTGGACTGGCAAGTTAGAGCTGATGTAGGATTCTTCTAGTGTACCATTTGAGATAAACTGGTACAAGTCTGAAAGCTTAACTGGAAATAAATTTTGAGCCGTTAGATGTGTTCCCTGTGGGATTGCCAGCGTCCCATTTCCCTATTCTTTCAACACTTAGTGGCAGAATAAATAAACGGTTCAAAACTGAGTGGTCACCAATGAAGAAAAGTGCCTGGTTTTAGAAAAAAATTTTGGATTGCCCTAACATTTTAATTTTTTTAAAGCCACAAGAACATTTGGAAAATAAATAAAAATTCAAGGTGTGCAGCATTTAGTCAATCCTAGAAAAAGAAATCAGAATATTTCCTCACTGAGGAAGCCGTTCCAATGACCATTCCTAAGTCACTTTATTTATAATATTAACTGAAGCAAGAGACAAATTCCAGTTGTCTCTGCTGTTTTCCTCTCTCTTCTAAATATTCTCTAAAAACTCTGAATGAAAATGTAAAAACTGTGAAGTTATTCAGAACAAACTATTCAAAAATATAATACTATAGGATACAGAAATGTTTACTTCAAAAATGTGAAATTTGAGGAAAAGAAGACAAGATGGAACAATGATATGCTGAGTTTTGTTACTAATGAGAATTTCTGAAGTCTAGCTTTCAGTTGATTTTTGCCACATTTTCTGAAGAAAAGATCTTACTGATCTCTCTTGACTTTTTATAATTTGATTCCTAACAAAAATATTTAAAACACCTTGCTCCCTCCCCATCCTAAATCCTGACTCTCCAGTCCAGGTGCAAGTAGAGTCTAGTTTTGAAGTTTCATTGTCATTACTTAAATAATACACACACACACACACACACACACACACACACACACACACACACACACTAGTGGCCTGGTGCAAGGATCCATGCACATTGAAAGGAAATTAATTAGAAGAAACATTTTAATATCCCTATTCACCCTTTCTCTATAATAGAAGTGTCAACCAAATTTTTGATTGACAATGACAGATGAAACAGATGTGTGCAATTGGCGTCAGTGAAAGCTTTGTATATATAGACCTGCTTTCTTAATTAGACCTGCTTTCTGACTTAGCTAAACTTTTTCCAACCTAATGAAGCACCCCAACTTCTCTTTCAGGTAATTGGCAACAACACAGCAGTAAATATCAGCATGAAGCAGATTATTATTATAGATCACGCAGGGAAAACAAAGGGTAAAATATTTAACTGCAGCAGTGTTTGTCTATTCTACACAGTGAGAAA